GACAAAAGCAGTTCTCTGGTTTGAATCCAATACTGAAGGTTCACTAAAATTCACAGGAACCTGAGCAGCAACAGCACAGTGAATGGAAATCAAGATGTGTGGAGCAAAGAACAGGGATAACAAAGAAAAAGAAATTAAATTAAGGCAGAAAACTGGTAGCTTTTTCCCAAAAGATCAGCACACCCAGCATCAAAACCCCTGTAAGGTGTCTCAGCATCTTGTTAAGCTGACTTCTCCGTGCACATCAGTACTGAAGTGAGAATTTGTCAGCAACATCAGTATTTAGAGGAAAAATGGTCAACAAGTCACTCCCTCTATTAAGATCTGGACTGTATTACAAAAAAAGTTTGAAAGCAGTTTCCTGGTGATTATTCTCTACTGAATGTGGCCATTTCAGCCCAAACAACAAGAGGAAATTTGAAATAGTTCTGCTCAAGAATGAAATGCAATAATAATAGTCATAAAAATATTTAGTACTCCAGAGTACCTCACATATATGAAGTACTGTACCAACATTAACTTATCCTAATCATCTCCAATAATCAGGTATGTATTATTAATAGCACCATTACAAAACTGCTGCAGGTTCCCGTTATTTCTCTTACTCACTTCTCTTACTCCTCATTTCTCTTTCACATGCAGAACATATTCCCCTCTGATTTGTTTCCTCTCCTTTTCTCCTTCAAAGTTTCTCACCCACCTACTCTGGCTCCCCGACCCTCTCTGTTCCCAGTGCTAAACATTTTAAGACACACAGGGGTGTTCCATGTCCTTAGCTGGAACTTGGAGCAGGTTAATCTCATCCACTTGCATCACTTAAACTTGATATTCTATGGAAGCTGAAAAATTTTTTATTGGATAGACTGATAGCTTGCATACAACTCCCATCAGAAGCATGGAGTCATCTGACAATGATTAAAAACACAGCTCATGATATCTGCAGCAACACAGGCACCTGCTTCACCATCAGCCACTTCTTCTGGAAAAGGAAAAATGTCCAATTTTGAGCAATGGGGTTGAATAATAAAGGAATAGTCATAGAGTGGCCCTACAATGACAGAACAAATCTACTACAGCAAAAGCTGATGACCACTAAGTGGTCTAGTTTTCATCTAGTTTTATAAGGAATTCATCATAGGTAATAAAATCAGTAATTTCTACTTAAACATTGGAAACTTTTAATTTTTACACAAATTCATCAGCATCATCTGAGAGGGTATCATTCAACGCACAATGCGAGGACTTTGTGGAAGGGAAAGGAAAATTTTCACTCACATACACACACAATATTGCAAATTTAATCAAACACATCAGTCCCTTCTTTGCTGACTTGGAGTAGGACTCATCAATAACTGCAGAATTTCTCAGGGCCAACACTAAGTTGACAGGACTCTTTCCTCTGAGGCAGCACTTTTCAGGGCAGTTTTTAAAATGCTAAGCTAGATCTATTCATCAAAATTGCTTTCTTTAGATGGAAAACAGTATTATAAGAAAAAGGATGACTCGTTTACCTCCTTGGCCAAAAGCACACAAACAGAAAAGATGAGACAAACACCTTTATTAAATGGCACAGACCCGAGAAAACAAGCATTCAAAAATCAACTGCAAACACGACTGCGCTAGATTTGATATTACTTTAAGCATCTGACATGTCAAAGATCTGCAGTATTAGGTAAAAATATTAACAGGATATCAATATTTGACAAGACCTGTCTTCCAGCCTCACTTTAATTAACAGATGTTGAAATTTTTATTAAAAAATTCAGGCATTATTGGTTTTCTCTCCAGAAGTAGGCAAAACTGTCCTTGAAATGAAGTAGAAAAACTTAGAAACTTTATGCTTCCTATCCACGGTCAATAAGATTTCCAGACAAATCTCCTTTCCCAATAAAACTTGGAATCAGCTGATTTATAAAATGAATGGAACCAGCAGCAACACTTTCAAAGAAAGAAGAACAGGATATACTTTCTCTCACCTTCCCCGAGCTGGGGTGCAGCAGCGCAGAGCCCCACATGCCCCCAGCCCAAGGGCTGCCCCAGCAGCACCCTGATCCCAACGTGAAAGCGCACAACACGCTTGTGCCAGCAGTGCTGACACAGCAGCCAGCCCCACCCAGGGAAAGTGAATCCAAATGGATGTACCATCCTCACAGCTTAATGGATTTTTATGTAGTTTTATGTATTACAGGCACAGCAAGCCTTTGCACAGCGCTTCAGCTGTTGCAATTCCCTTGGTGTTTCATAGAAGTTGGATCTTTTTATTCATCAAAATTTTGTACTCACAGATTTTTTTTTTTTTTAATTATTATTTCCTCTCCTTTTTCATGATTACCTACGTAAGTAAAATTAAGACAGATTCTCCTTCATTCTTAGTCATAGAATCATAGAATGGTTAGGATTGGAAGGGACTTTGAAGATCATCCAGTTCCAACCCCCCTGCCATCAGCAGGGACACCTTCCACTAGACCAGGTTGCTCAAAGCCTCATCCAGCCTGGCCTTCAACACTTCCAGGGAGGAGCAGCCACAACTTCCTTGGGTAACCTGTTCCAGTGTCTGACCACCCTCACAGTGAAGAACTTCTTCCTAATATCTAATCTAAACCTCCCCTCTTTCAGCTTAAACCCATTTCCCCTTGTTTTGTCATTAATTGCCCTTATGAAAAGTCCTTCCCCAGCTTTCTTGTAGGCCCCCTTCAGTCCTTCCAGAAGAGAAGACATTCATAATGCGAAAGAAAAAGAAAAAGGCAGATTTAGGCAAAAAAGCAGAGGTCTCTCCAAAGTCCTTCCCAGAGAAGAGCTTTCTGGCTCTCCTCCTCTCAGTCCCAAGTGAGATACCACCACAAACAATACCACCTAGGGCTGCCAGCATGCTTTTTAAAGAGCATTCACGGAAAACGCCGCCAAGAGTCAACTCGAGTTTCCCCGTCTCACATGGTAGTGCCTAAAGAAAAAGGCTGACAGACGAGCCTGGTGTTCTGCTGTGGGGTAATAGCTCATACGTTCTCCATTATCAGATCATGGAATAAATATGTAATAGGTTAAAGTACTTCATATCAGAAATGAAGCAGGGTCAAGACTGAGTGAATGCTCCGATATTTGATATAAATATATAATTCCTGTGCCATTATTTCACTACTCTGCAGCACACAACAATATACTCACAATGTTTATGTTCCCATCTCCGTTTTTCAAGCTCTTTTCAGAGGTTTCACAACTTCACTAAAAATACATTTGAATTTTTCCTGTTGTGTCTTTGTGCCAATAGATAAATATATATATTCATCACGTAGTTCTATCAGTTAGTGTAGCACCATGAATTACTGCACTGCAAATACTCAGCATCAAGACTCACACAAAGCTTGTCAGCTTATCCTAGGAGCATGTTTGGTGTAATCTGCCAGCTCCTGGGGATTTCTTGGGACCTTTTGCTAGCTTTTACTGCTTTCTGGCATTAATAGCTCATCAACTGCTTTCTCTGAAGACAAATACATTGAAACTCTCTAATAACTTCCTCTGTCAGTATCTTCTTCTGAGCTTACTGATTCTCAATTCAAAAGTTTTTAACATCTTGGAAGCTTTGATTTCTCATCAAGGTTGTGTTCTGCTTCTAAACCACACTTCTGCATACACCTTACTGTTATCTCTACCTCAGCAGTATTCCATGATTAATTTTGGCCCTGCTTCCAAACAATTCCCCAAGCACTCACAGGAATGTCAGTTTCTTAGAAGTATATTTTCCAACTCCAGAAATATTTTCTTTGTAGCCTTCTTTAACAAAATGCCAAATGTATAAAAATATTTACCACTCCTCCAATAAAAAAAAAACCCAAACACAAAACAAAAACCCCCAAACACAACATCTAGAAAGAATCATGTTTACTCAGACTAACTGACATTGGTTCTTTAAAGCACAACATTTCAGGTGACATTCACTTCCAAAATATTAAGATTGAGTTTTTTTCCTGGAAACTTTACATTTCCTGATCATGCATGTTTAATAATAAAGTAATAATAATTACAAAAGTAATAATTCAAAAGCTTTAAATCAATTAAGTTTTAAAGATATTAAAGAAAATTGAGGATGAAGTGGTGGTTAAGCCACAATCGAAAAAAATTGGTTTTAATTTCCTGTAAAAGCTTTTTGTGCAGTTCTGGCTGGAAGTTTAAGTTATCTTTAAGAAAGCCCATTTGAGAAAGCCACAGGTAATTTTTTAATATATTTTTTTAAATGAAAGCCTGCCCTCTCGTGTAAGACCGGAGTTTAGCATGACTACAGCCAAGATCCCTGAGCCTGCTTCTGGACTACCTGGAAAACATGAACCTTCCAGTGCTCTTCTTTGGGACTGTGCTGCTTCTGCTGAATGAGGAAATACAAAGCAGCTACTCATAATTTAATGCCCTCTCCACAACAAGAAAGTGCTGCTATTTTCCTTGTTATCTTGGCCAATAAACCACAATCAATTTGCAAATGTTTAAGTGCACAGGTAATTTTGGCATTTGTCTCTTCAACCACCTTTTGTACACGTTCAGTAGAAACAAAAGGGAAAAAAAGGTTCTTCTGACTGACTTACAAATAAAGAAGAAAGGGAAAAACAACTAAATCATTGTCACTTTCTGCTTTGTTTTTTAACTCTTATCCCAGTTACTATATTACAGGCAGCTGCTTCCTTAAAAGAGGAGGCCAAGCATTAAGTCTGAGTCACAAGTGATTTGTGAAAGCCCCCTGAAGACCACGTATAGATGTTAATTAGCGTTGACAAGACCCTAAAGTCAAAACCACTGAAAACAACCTACTACACGCACTTCACAGTCAGTGTCAGCAACGTTTCTCCAGCTGCATGAGGAGCAGCACTGTCACAGATCACAGAGTGCAAGGTGTTCACTGTGGACGTGCTTATCTACAAATGGACAAAGCTTTCACACGTGCTTCGAATTAAGAATGTTTCATCCCCCAGAAAAGTCCCCCACCTCCAACATAAGTAAAAAAACAAAACACCTACTTTCGAAGGTGCTCGTGTTCCTTCAGGAATAGTTCTGTTCTTCTGTTATTCACACCAGACCCACTTTTATATGATCTAAAATGTATTTAAAAAAAAAAATTGAAAAACATTTTTTCCAGAGACTTTTCAGTAGACAATATTAACTGATTTACATACACATCAAGCTTTGTTACTCTGAAGTGACCAAACAGAAAAGTTCCAGTCATGTTAAGACAGCTTCAAAGTAATTTAGCATAGCTTAATAGTTTTACTTTAAAAACATGAGTTCCTTTTCATAGTTAAAAAACCCAACAACAAAATAAAACAGAATCTTAGCACAACTGTAATAAGAGTTGAGAATTCAAGTAACTTTTTGCTTTATTCAGAGCACAGACAAATAAGCTATGCCAAGTATTCTACAGGAGGGTGTCCACCTTCTCCCTCCAAGGACAGTCCCATGCCATTGTTGTAACACAACAGGACTTACTCGATATCTTTCCGTACTGATCCCAAGAGATTCTCTCTTTCTCGTATTGCCAAAAAGTTTGCTTTGGTTTTGTGGAATTCGTGTGTATAATCCTGTAATAAAACAATTATTCCCAAATTAGGATCCTGAGATCAATTTAACAACCCAGTATACCAGAGTAAGATCCAATCACCTATTAAAATGTGAGCTGTTCTCTAACACAAAGTGCAAGACTAACTTAGGAAATTAACATCAAAAATGCTTGTGAGTATTTTTAAAACTCACTGCTCTTACAGTAGTTGCTAACTTTTGACAGCTACAGCTAAGGTCACAGAGGGAAATCCACTGTAATTCCTTCTCCCAATTTCACCTGTCTTCCCCTTTCTGACAAATTATCATTTTGTGTTGGAATTTCCCACTACTGGTTGAATCTGAAGTGCTAATAAAACCTACTTATTTGGTGTGGTGAAGATGTTTATTTTGTTATGTTACACCAGATGAAAAATAAGTTTTTTCTAAATGATGAAGACTTTTTTTTTAATTTTTTTTTTTTAAATCTTTAATCTTCACGTTGCAGTTTTACAATTGAAAAATTTCAGGTAGCTAATACTGCTCAGAAACCAATTCAACTAGCAACTGGTGTCCACCAAAAATCATTGTGAACATTTGGCACTATTTTTCATATAAATGCTATGGTTTTTGCAAAACATTCAGCTTTTTACAGTGTGCATTGCACAGATACAAAACAGAAATCAAACTGTACAAGACCAGTCAAATAAAACATGTGTGTTTAACATTACAGGGCCATGAAAACATCACGAGTTTGAAACACAGTTGATTTAGAACATTAACAGCTTTACCCACCACATTCTCTTCGTAGAATCATAGAATGGTTTGGGTTGGAAGGGACCTTAAAGATCATCCAGTTCCAACCCCCCTGCCAGCAGCAGGGACACCTTCCACTAGACCAGGTTGCTCAAAGCCTCATCCAGCCTGGCCTTCAACACTTCCAGGGAGGGGGCATCCACAACTTCCTTGGGCAACCTGTTCCAGTGTCTGACCACCCCCACAGTGAAGAACTTCTTCCTAATATCTAATCTAAACCTCCCCTCTTTCAGCTTAAACCCATTTCCCCTTGTTTTGTCATTAACTGCCCTTCAATTCCCTTTAGCAGTTTAGATGGTTTTACAATCATATTTTCCTATCTGAAACGTGATGTTCCCTCTCACATTGCTACGTTACAGACCACACAAACAAGATAATTCCTTGTAGTACTTCTCCCCCTGTGCTACACAAAAAACACCTACGTGAGATCACATGTTTTACTGTTCTTCCTTAGCTAGGCACTAGTCAGCAATACAACATTAAAAATGCTACTTTTTCAACTCAGAGTTCACTCACTGAGGTGCCTGGAGAGAAGAAAACTGAGACAGGATCGGTGGCATTTAAATCTTCTGGTGGACACTGAAGCATGCTGTGATACCAGCACTGCTAATAATTATTCCAAACAAAGAAACAAAATAAAAGCAAGAAGGACACAGGTTTGTTACCTGCAGTATGTCTCTGTGACGCTGTAACGTGTGCATCAGCGCAGCGTTCAGGGACGGGACTCCTGCGCTGTTTGTGTATTCGGCCATTTTGTCATTTATTCCAGTCAGCTAGAGGAAACAAAAAAATACAAACTCAACACCATGAAACAGCTTATTCATCACAGAAACCTCTGCTGCAGTGTTTTCTAGATGCTGAAGTAAAACCACAGCAACTTGAGATACCTTTCCCAGAAGCTGTTCAATCTCCACAGCCATGGTCTCAAACATTCTGTCCTGGCTCGATCCATTTAAGAGAGGAGTCGTGTCAGAGCTGAGGAGAAAGAGGAGAAGCAGTTACTGAAAAGTACATCAATGTTTCAGGAATATAAGAAACAAAGATGTGCTAGTGTTAGGTGTTGCCAAGCTCCACTACTCAGGTTTTCTAGAGAGATGAATTAAGCTCAGAAAACCACTTTTTCTTATCACACATGCCTTTAACTTTTAGCTGAACTAATGACACCGTACCACTTGGGGAAAATAAAACCTCTCCTGGGGAGATATGCCTGACATCAAACACTTGTCTACTACCAGCATGTATCTAGCACCAATATCCTTCTCTCCCCAATTTTTAAGCTTGACTTAGGTATTTATTGGCAGGAGGGAGCACTGCACTATTAGCATGTTACACCAGCTGCATAATTACACCTTAATAACACAGTGCTAGGACAACCCACTACTAATTAAGCAGCCAACGTTCTACAGAGCCATGCTAACCACACAATTTATCACAATTACAGTTTCACTCAGTACACCTTCCCTATAAGACACTGATTCCAGAGTAATGGGATAATTCCTGAGGTGCTCTCAGGCTTCAAGAACCAGAAATGCATGGAAAGGTTCAGAAATTGATTAAATTATTGAATTAAAGTAAATAAGTATCAACACACATACACACAGCAGTCACACTCACAGAGCGTTGGGACCCACAGTTAATAAGCAAAGAACAGCAGTTTTTAAAGGTTGTGCAGAGGGACAGAGAAGTTGATAATTAGTGCTGTGGAACTGCAATAAAGACCTTGACTCTGGTCCGTAAGCTGGAAAGACTTGAAGAGTTTTATCATACTAATTCTTCAGTCAAACACAAATTTGCCCAAAGCAAACAGAAACTAGAAACTATTCATATATATACACATGTATCTGGTTCATATATAGATAAAAACATACATATAGCTCTCATTATTACTACTCATTCTTAGGAGAAAGACAGAAAACAGCTACTGCTCCTGAAAGGAGGGCTGCTCACCTCTGGAGCCTTAAACCAGTCACAGCTGCTCACTGCTCCAGTTCCCTTATCATTACAACAGGGATTACAAATACCACAGCAGCCTACCCAGGAGGTGCAAAGCTAAATTCCCCTAATAATGAATCACAGATATTAGGGTGACGTCCTTGAAAACCCCCTGCTAGTTTAATACGAGAAAAACTGGAAAATAAGCTGATGCAGCATGCGTTAAAAAGTCCCATCATCAGTTCACACACTAACCCCACAGTTATGGGGTGAAATTTAAATCCAGCTTCCCCTAGTGACACGCACGCTCTCAGGATGCACCTTGCAGCCCACGCACCTTTCTGACCCGCACGCTGATATCCAGAGTCCAGCATCACAGCACCAAAAAGAGCTGCAATGAGGCTGCTTATGCACAAAAGCCACAGGTGGGACTGACTAACATTCAGCAAATGAGAAAAACGAAGCAAGTACCGCAAGAAGGATTGAAAACGTAAAGAAATGGGTTAGTACCTATACCTGTCGCGCCTTCCGTCTCGGGTGCTGCTGTAGCTGGTGCACAGTTTGCTGAAGGAGACCAGCTTGAGGTCCAGCTCGTTCTCCAGCTGCCTCGCCTGCTTCCTGAGATCTGCACAGGGCGGCCGAGAGTGGGGGGACAAGTCACAAACCCGCACGGTCACCCCGCGCTTTTGGGGGACGCGTTTGGAGTAGGCACCGAGCGCTCGGAGAGGGGAACCCCGCGGAGAAGGGGGGG